AAATAATCTCAATTTATATAATTAATTCATTCATTATAATTTTTTTCTATTTTGAATTTAACTCAAGGATTTTGAAATAATCATATATACATTTTTCTAAATAAAATCTTAATAATATTAAGATTATCTCAAAACAATTGAGTTTAACTTATATCTGAATTAAATTCAATCATTTTGAAATTATTTTACAATAACAAAAATAATCTCAAACTCAAGTTTGGTTGTATATCTGCACCCTTTTCTATATCAAAATATATATTTGCCTAGAATTGAAGGCTCAAAACCTTAATTACATTATTTTATATATTTTGGATCTAACTAGGGCTTTATTTTATGTAAGGTAAAATGCTAGTTAGGCCCGAAGAAGTTTGCTTGGGGTGCTCCAGAGATACAATCTTGGATCCTACACGCGTTAGTTAGTAGTACCTTTCAGAAAGACTTAAAAATACGGATATTCACCAAATACGAACACTGTTTTCTATATTCCCCGTCTCCTTTGAAAGGATTTCAGCCTTGCTTGATAGGTTATATGCAGTCTCCTTCGTTCAGTACCATCTAACCAAATCACATCGGAACCTCCGTAAATATTGGTAGCTAAAATATGTTTATTTAATCATTAAACTATCATCGAAACGCATTTGCGCTTTTACGCTCTTACACTCTTACGCTATCATGCCATAAAGAATCATACGGCTGAATCACCGCTCAGCCCAGTCCCTACTCGAGACTCTCCACGGAGCATCGATCTCGTCGTCGGCGCTGCACCCAAACTACCCATTCCCGCAACCTTCTCCTTGATAGAATATTGATCCACCGAGGATCTACCTATTGACGTCGTCGACTTGGCGAACGTGAAGAAACCTTGTCGCAATCCCAATTTACGGTCACGCGCAGCTTCTTCTTCATCAAGCTGCTCAAACAATCCAAAATACCTCTTCGTCGCCTTCCACGCTTCAATTCCCAAGACAAAAATAAGAACGGCTCCAACCGCTAAGGACCATTCCCAGGAAATTCCAATGTGCTTGAAGACTGAGGTATTCAGGCCAGGGATGTAGACAGCTGGGAATACAGACAATGCACCAATGACAACTGCCCAGAACAAAAAGCGGTTCTCATACACATCCTTGAAGAATGGAAATGAACTCTGGGACGTTGGATCTAGACGGAACATACTTCTACGAATAGACTTGAATTCCCATGCTGAGATGAGAATCAACCAAGTCAACTCCGCAAAGACTGCTGCACGAGCTCTGAAGACCGGGCCACAAGTATCGCCATATTTGCGGTTGCAATCATGACCAAGATTTCCATTGTTCACCCCATAGATGATTATCACAAAGGTGAGAAGTGTGCAGGTCCCCATCAAAATACCATACACGACCATGTCAACAAGGATTTGTGTGGTGAAAACCCCTCTCTTATTGTCATGTGGTGGACGTTTCATAACGCTCGAACTTGCTTTCTCCTTTCCCAATCCAAAAGCCGGGAAACTGGAGGTAAGCATGTTGATCCAAAGAATTTGTAATGGACTCAGTGGGAACACTGATTGTTTGTTGCTGTCCTGGAATCCCAAACCTGCGATAAGTAGTATGACTTCTCCCACGTTTGAAGAAAGGAGATGCAAGACGAATTTTTGGATATTATCGAACATACGACGACCTTCACGGATAGCGGATACAATACTGTTGAACTTATCGTCGAGAAGCACGATTTTAGAAGCTGATTTAGCAACATCGGAGCCTGCGATACCCATTGCAATTCCGACATCTGCCTCGGAAAGACTGGGCGCATCGTTCACTCCATCACCTGTCATTGCCATGTATAGTCCTCTCCTTCTCAATGCATGGATCATGCGTGTTTTTGTATCCGGTGCACAACGAGCGAGAACCAAAGGAAGTGTTGGTAGTGCATCTATTTGTGCATTGGTGAGATGGTCAAATTCAGTAGCCTTCATAACGATCGATGCAGAGACATCAGCGGGTAACGTTCCAAGATTTCTTGGAATAATGCCAATCTCCTGTGCAATTGCTTTAGCTGTGGAAGGATGGTCGCCTGTGAGCATGTGGACTTTGATTCCGGCCTGAGTACATTCTCGGATAGCATCTTTAGTCTCGTCGCGCGGAGGATCGTAGATTCCAACAAGACCGAGAAGTGTAAGATCCTGTTCCACTTCACCTCGCAAAGTGTCGTCACCATTCTTGTCCTCCGGTGTGGGGTTCCTAGTGTAGGGCTTAGCTGCTACTGCGAGGACTCTTTGACCTTGCTCGGCAAATCTATCCATTTGTCGAATTATTTTCTCCTTCAATTCTTCCGTCATTAACTCATTTGTACTTCCGCTTCCAGCCGAGGAGCAAAGATCCAATACCCTTTCAACAGCTCCTTTTGTGAACACCGTATTCCCTCCATCTGGTCGTTGGTAGATCACCGACATCCTTTTAATGCTACTGTCAAATGGAAATTCGGCGACTTGTTTCCATCCTTTGTTTTCAAGCACTCTTTTCCCAGAATCGAACCGGTGCGTGAATACTTGCAAAGCAATCTCTGTTGGCTCACCAGTGGTTTGCCATTTTCTCGTAGTCTCGCCCTCTACAACTTCATTGTTGACAGTAGCAAGGTTGCAAAGCGCAGTAGAATGAAGAAAACTTTCGAGCTCTAGTGTCAGTTCGGCAGGCTCTTCATCATGTTTCGATGACGCGTTCTTGTTTTGATCTCTCGCAGCCTTTTCAGCAGGGATATCGAATGTAAGGGCAGCCGCACTTCTCTGATTATCGAAGTCCATGGCAGCATTTTCGCTGGGGGATGACTTCTGCATATCCTCGGACGTAGGTGGAGCTTTGGTAACTGTACCTTCGGTAGGATCGTTGGGATCCATAGAGTGGTTCACGGTATAGATTCCAACTTTAGGAAGCCATACTTTCTTGACGATCATAGCTCCTTGTGTGAGTGTACCGGTTTTATCAGAACAAATGTTTGTTACTCCACCAAGTGCTTCGAGTGCCGACAAATCTCGGACGACAACATTAGCCTTACGCATAACGGTCATACCAACAACCATTGTTATTGTCAAGACTCTGATGTGATGTTAGTTGCTATATCTCGAGTGAGAGCGAAGGGTATACTTACGCGATCAAAGATTCAGGAATGATAGCAATACCCGTGGAAATAGCATAAATGGCCACTTCATCAGTAACTATGAATCTATTCACGCCAAATACCACAATTGATAGTAGAATCGCGCACCCGAAGAGGATATACGCAACCTTGCTTAATTTCCTTTGCAATGGAGTACCTTCAGTGAGTCCCAGAAACTTTCCTACAAAATCGTAAGTACGTCTAGCTGCTCCCTTCACAGGCTGCGCTTTTCCATATTTCTTATAATTCATCGATCGTCCCTCTTTCCGCTGTTTCTTCGTAGTCGAAGCTGCAATCTTCCCAACTTCAGTTTGCATGCCCGTAAATACAACAATACCTCTTCCTCGACCTTTGATGACCGTCGTGGTAGAATATGCCATGTTATCCCGATCAGCAATGCCGACTTGTTCCTCGCTCGTCGCTATCTCTTCCATCCCCGGCACGAAAATCCCATTCGAAGTAAATTTCTCCACAGGTTCCGATTCTCCCGTCAAACTCTTCTCCTCGCACGTTAAATTCATAGCTTCAAATATGCGCAGATCTGCCGGCACCGTATCACCCATCTTCAACAATACGATATCACCGGGCACGACCTCCGCACTGGGAACCACCACCACCGAACCACCCCTCAATACCGAAGCCGAAGGCGAAGAAAGCGCTCGCAACGAATCCATCTTCTTCTCGGCGCTAAATTCTTGGAAAAATCCAATCAGCACATTGAGCACGATGACAGCAACCAGCACTCCTCCTTCGATATAATCGCCAACGCCAAAACTGAGCGCCATGGCGAATACGAGCACGAGGATCATGGCGTTGGATATTTGTTTGAGTAGGATTTTGTACCACGAGATGGATCCGCCGGTGTTGAGTTCGTTTGGGGGATGCGACGTCTGGATAGTTTGCACTTGGCGGGTGGTGAGACCCGTTTCGAGATTGCTGCTGAGTTGGGCGGCGGCATCTTGGGGCGTGAGGAGGAAGGCGTGCGGCTTGGTGGTGTAGGAGGGGGATTTCTCTTGGGATGACATTCTTTTTTTCGGTATGCGGGTTTGAACAATAGGTGGGTGTATGTTATATGTATGTATGTATGTAATGTTGTATGAATGGCTGGTACCGTTATGTTGAAACAAAATTGTTGAAGTTTCTATTCCTAATCCAAGGGAATAGTAGGGAATGAATATAAACCAATCTAATCTTTTCTTTATCAACAATAAAAAATATAAATATCCAGTGAATACAAAAACATCCCAAAAAAAAAGCCTCGGGAAGGGGAGTACACATCCTTATATATCCCCTTCCAAAAAATCCCAAAAGTCCCTTTTGCTATTCGTTCCTGTCAAACTCGGCACAACTATTAGTATAGTCTTTACATTTTACATTCCTAACCTTGAACCCGATAAGGAAACCACTATTGCGGACTAGCCAAGCATATTCGAGTCATAATCATAAATCACACAATTCCCACAATCGCTATATAAACCCTAGTATCACGAAGCCATGAGCCCATGAATATTCATGGCATTCTCTTGGTTCTCTTGGTGTTCAATGTATACGCTCTGTATGGAACCATCGACACAAAGGCCCAGCGCCAAGGAAATCTTGGCTGGGGTTGTCGGGACTTGGTGGTACTTGGTGAAACTAAGCTATACGTGGTTAGAACTCCCTGGAACTTGGAGCAGATGTGGGGATGGAATGTGGTTGGGTGAGGAGGGGTGGTCAGGTGATTTTTTTCTTTCTCTTTTTTTCTTGGCGCACGTGCTAAGGTCTTTGTGGGGGTGGCGAGGTGGGCTTGGCGTATTTTTGGGCGAATGAGGGGGTGCGCTTGAGAGCTTGGTGCGTCTTCTTGGTTCTTGGTTCTTGGTTCTTGGTGGGTGTACGTAGCCGGTGGTGGGGAGGAGCGTATTTTTATCTATCTGTAAGTTGTAGCGGAGGGTTTGGAGTTTGGGGTTGAGGCAGTTGAAATTTGAGAGATGTTTGCAGTGGTGACGTCATAGAGTCGATTCTTTGCTGCTATATGTCGGTTAATTGTGGATGGATAGGAGTCGTATTCATCTCAATCTCAAGAAGGACAGAAGGAAAGGATGGATGATGAATGGATAAGATGAGATGATATGATATGAGAAGATGAAATCATATCAGATTAGATCGATCCAATCAGATTAGATTAGAATTCCCCAAATAATTTCCCCAAGATTCATACGATGTATGTTACTAGATCTATGCCTCACATATGTGCAGAGAGGGACTAGAGGATTTTATATCAATATTCCATCAAATCGGGTTTCTCCGTCCCCTCCCCCGCATTTACCCCTTCTTTTAATTCCAAACTAATCAAGGAGTTTGGCGGGGTATACATGCATGTAGCAAAATATACTTTCTTGGGAATATCTTCAGCGAGACTCGGAAGTAATGTCCGTACCTTGCTAAGTAGCAGATATGTCATATAGGGATGTAGTGGTATTGAGTGGTTCTGTTGTACTTATAAGTACATAGGACCTGGTATGAATGAATTTGAGATCATAACAATAGATCTATTATATTTCAGTATTCAATATGAAGTTATTGGATGTTGTTAGTTTGACATTTGGGATACTGGTAAATTCTGTTTGGGCGCTTCCCACTACAGATACCAAATCCAACTTTAGTTGGGAGGATACCAAGTACTTGTGAGTGAAGATGAAGATCTCTATATGACAGATTTCAGAGTGCTCCAGCTCCATGAGTTGTTTGCAATCGAGAACACTCATCGCATCACTTCACTACATACAAACACGATATCAAGGTTTGCATCGAAAAACCTAACCAAAATACCAGTCTCGCATTTGGCGATTCAGATACCTTCGTCCAAGGAACATACGGTCTCCAAAACTTTTCCTTCATCGGGGATCTTCTACACTTCTCTTATACACCTGCTCAAATCTTGAGTAATGAGATTATTCAAAACCAGATATACCACTATTTCAACAAGTCGCAAAATAAGATAAAATAACACAAAGAATCAGATAGGAACATCAGCAGGAGGACCCAATTGGGTAGAATATCTCACGTCCTGTTTCTCGGGGCTCCCCTCAAAATGCACCAAACAATTCTGGGATTTTGCATTTGCCGGCTCAGATGTTTCTACCACCTGGTGCGTTTCCTCCAGCTATCTTCCACTATCTTCCAATATTTTCCATTTTTTAATTCCAAAACAGTACTGCATTACACCATAACACCGCCGTTTCCCTCGAAAGCCAAATCCTCGAATGGTCTACCTATGCTCTCCCCGTCATCCCCATGGACCCATCCAAAACACTCGTCACCATCTGGATCGGCATAAACGATATCGGAGACACCGCTTCCTATATATTTCCCTCTCATAACTCCACAAGTCTCCACTCTCTATACACGAACATCATCACCGCCGAGTTCGCGGCCATTGAAACCATTTACAAATCTGGATTTCGCAATTTTCTGTTCATGAATCTGCCACCTCTACAGCGCACCGTAAGTTTTCTTCCCCTTTTCCTTCATCTATAAATTCATCATCCATCCCACTAACCTCTCCCCTCCCCAAAAGCCACCGAACCTCATCCGCCCAGCAGGTCCCCTTCCAAACACCACCATGCTCAGCTCCTACAACCGCATACTCAATACCAGCGCCCACCACTTCAGCACCACACATCCGGGCACCAAAACCATGGTCTTCGATATATTTTTCTTTCTCTCCTCGGTACTTGATGATCCGACACCTTATGGCATCAAAAATATCACGAATTATTGTCCCAAGTATGATGCGTCGGATATTGCTAGTAAGTTACTGTTTTCTCTATATATGAGTGAGGTATGATGTATGGAATGAAAGGGATGAAAATACTGATAAGGATAATGAAAATATAGCGAATTACGCGGCGTATGGATGTCTACCTATCGAAGATTATTTCTGGTATAATACGGGTCATATCACCTATCACACACATGAGATATTGGCGAGGGAAGTGGGGAAGTTTTTGGAGAGTCAAAGTTATTGAACGTGTTTTCGAAGTCACCCTGTGAATCATGCTTTGTTTCTATGTATGCATGTATATGTATGAGAATTCCGTGATGGATAGATGGCTGGTCGAGATTTTGCCGAGCTCCTGATCACTAATTAAGGGGAAGAAGAGAGCTCGGCTCATACAGTATCTTCATGGAGATGAGATCAGATCAGTAATCACTATGCACGAAATATTCACAGCATTTCCATCCCTACATCATACCATACCATACCATACCATAGAGATAAACATTACATCAAAACAAGCCTCGGAATATATTATTAGTATAGTACATGACTGACAAGTGACTGACAAGTGACAATATCCAACTACTACACACTACTAATACAACAAACCTTGCCTTACCTGTCATCTAATCCATCAATAGCTAGCTCACTGCACATCAAGGACAAGACCTAACCTAACCTATCCTAACCCTAACCATAATGATAACCTCGCATAATCCAGATAACAGGATAAGTGTAGATAGAATACAGTACTAAGTTTGATATTACTGTAATTGTAACTGTAACTGTAACTGTATCCTCATGCATGCACATAACCTATCTACATACCATATATACCATACTCGAGTATATACCAGAATACTAGGAGTACAGTACACATCAGATGTTTATTCTGAAAATATAGAATTGGTGTCACACATATCTGCATTTCCCAGTCCGAGTACTCGAGTACACTATATCCATATCCCAATCTCAATTCCGTATTCTCCTTACTCTCTTCCGGTACCAGTAAGTACCAGTACCACGATAGACACTAGATATTAGATACAACCTACCCACCAATACCAAGAAACACAACACAACCCCCTTCCTCCTAGCAAAACATAACATGACATCCCCCAAAACCAAACCCCGCATCTCTCTCCCCTCCGAAAACCTCTCCTCCGATAATCCCTCCTCCAATAACCTCAAGACTATCTATCATACCAGTACCAGTACCAGTACCAGTACCAAAAGCAACAAAATCCACCACCACTCTTCCCACTCTTCCCACTCACACTCCAACCACAAAAAGAACCATCTAGAAAATCAAGAGCAAAGTATCATAATACCAATACCAATACCAATACCAATACCGCCACTACAATTGAAAGTATGAAATGGACCTGATGATATCGATCATCCACTAAATTCGTCTTGATGAAAAAGAAAATGTCCATTTTTTACGCCGGCTGTGATTTCTTTTCCGGCGTGGGTGTTGTGTTTTATTGACTCCTATCAAAAACCCCACAACTAACCCCACCCCCAGAATCCTTGGCTCCTCTCTCATAATCCCCTTCCTCCTCACTCTCCCCATCTCCTCCCCCTCTCCACCCTCTCTCTATTTCCACCCCCCTCATCCTCTCCCCCACCATCACTCTCCTCTCCCTAACAACCAACATCCTCACCCTCGCCCTCGCCCTCTCCCTCCACCCCCTCTCCGAATCCCTCAGTCACAAACTCATCCATCCACCTACTCTCCGTCCCTCTCCTCTCGGCTGCCTCTTCCCGCTCAGCTGCGGTTTCTCGCCCAACATCAGCAGTCTATTACAGTACTGTACGTATCTTAACTTTTCTCGCCGGTATGGCATATACAGTAGTCCCGCCAAGAACCTCGCTACCGTATACTAGTGTTAGAAGTGTATGTATATTATATTCAGGTACAGAATCTAAGCTATATTATTGAGCGTATAAGTAAACAAGATGTACACTAATAGTGAATATAGAAAAGGACTAATACCGTGATACCTGTAATACCTATGATTTTCTAACATCCCCCTATGATCAAAACCTTGATTATCCAGAAGTACATGTTATTAAATAATCTCTTTATATAAAATTGATCAAATTAACCAGATTGATCAAATTAAAATTGACCAAATTGACCAAATTGATCAAGAACCACAATTTTCAATCTAATTGTCAAAGCCTCATTAACTCCTGTAATAATCTATAACCCTACTATTATGATAATATCTAATCTCTTATAAAATTCAACTATCCCATAATTAAGTTTATTATATTACAATATAAAAATACTCTTATTTCTCTTCAAAATCCAAACCTAACCCTAAACTATAAATGCAAAATACTGGGTAGATAAGTTGTTTTGTGAATATATCTATTATTTATTTTATTCCTAAAATCCATACTATATATATTCACTTTATATTAATTATATCTTTACAAATATAATGTTATCTGATTTGAATATACTTCGTCTTACTATGTATAAGGGATCACAAGCAGGGAATAGGCCGGATAGTATCAGTACTACAGTTGGGATATAGTTTATACAAAACTGAGTTTATACCATTATCATAGTGATATAAAGGTAATTCTTTATAGATTTCAGTATAAACTAACTAATAAAAACAAAGGATATAAAAGGATACTCTATGTCCTTTTATTTCTATATTTTTCTAATTAATCCCTGGAAAGGGATTAATCTCTATATAATAATATAATACCCTTTTCAATAATCACATCCTTATGATTTAGTTTATACTACCTATAAACAAATAAATATAAATAATTACTCTGGAAAGCTTTTATAATAATAATATATTACTAACG